ACAGATCCGATGAGAAAAATGCGAAAAGAAGAAACAGGGTCACCGTTCGAACGGGATAGAGAGATGATTTGCGTAAACGGTTGATTGAAGTAGCCATGCCATTATTACCCGCGTTCTTGTTTTCAGCGTTTAAGTGATTGTTATGCAGCAAGCGATAACGTAATTGTACGAAAGCCAGTCAAGTGGGACGCGATCTTTCGTCGCGAATAAAAATAAGAAGAAAAGGTGTTATACGTATGATCGATTTGCAATATCAGTTATTTGATTATTTCTCTCGCATGTAATTACGCTTATTGATGTAAACGCTTGGTAGTTCAGAAAAACCACTGAATTCGCAGAAATAATCGGCGTATCTTAAATTGATAGTCGGAGCGCGAATGAGTACTAAGATTATCCAATTTTCAGATATTAACATAATTTTTGCGATATCTTTGATTTATGCCTTCAGACATTAATTTCGTATTGTTCCACTTTCGATCATATTTCTTCTGCTAGTTTTTGCGAATCGATACTATCGATCTTTTGCAAGTCCCACGCGTTGCGTCATCGTTCACACCGCAGCAGCATAAGACACATAAAATGCGTCAGCTGTTTAGAATTAATTAAATGATCCGCGCCTTCTTTTCTTGAACCGTATCACGCAAGCAAACGCGTCGGTTGGAAGGCGTATCCCCTGTAATTTCTCGCGTAAATCGCAATTAATTCCAAGGTACGCGCTAAAGGGTTCAATGGTAATTAATACTTTTACACGTCGTGTCGGTTAATAGATTTATTACGCAGGACACGTTACGTGTTTCAAGGCGATCTAGAATAATCAAACTCCCATGACATGTCACTTATGTTTTATTATGTTCTGGACCGCTGGTAACGTATTCAGCGGGACCAATATCTCTCCGATCTTGTATTACTGACAAGGGAAAAGAAATACAAGAAACTGAATCGTAACAGCGAGACATCAAAAATCCCCTCTTAATTATCATCGAGTAACGATAACGCTTTAAATACAAGGTGGTCGAAGTCGTGTGAAAGAAGGATAACCGTGAACTCGATAACGTAGATTCGTAACTTTTCACAGCACGTGCTTGTGGTAAACTTACGTTGCAATTACTGTAAATCTAATGCGAGGGACAGGTGTACTTTATTCCGATTGGCTTGCCACTTACGGAACTGGCACCGCCTCTGATACATACTCGGTCGAGAATCGTTTACGTATGACGTGGATCTTTACGCGTGGGTGGTTGTGCTAATAAAAACCATATCAATTATTTAGTAGCCGCATAAAGGAATATTTCATTTGCAGTATGGTATAGACAAACAAGTGTAGCAAGACCTTGTCATCACTTTTCAAAGATCAATTGAAACATTCCTACATTTATAATTTTAAAAATATTTTTATATTTTTACATTTCTAATTTCAAAAATATTTGCATATTTTTATATTTGTAATTTCAGAAATATTTGCATATTTTTGCATTTTTAATTTCAACAATATTTGTATGTTTTTATAGGGCTGCATTTGTACGTTTGTACATTTGAATATTGGTACATTGGTACATTGGTACGTTTGTACATTTGAACATTGGTACATTGGTACATTTGAACGTTGGTACATTTGAACATTGGTACATTTGAACCTTTGAACATTTGTATATTTGTACATTTGTACATTGGTACATTTATACATTTGTACATTTGAACATTTGTACATTGGTACATTTATACATTTGTACATTTGAACATTGGTACATTGGTACATTTGAACGTTGGTACATTTGAACATTGGTACATTTGAACCTTTGAACATTTGTACAGTTGTACATTGGTACATTTGAACATTGATACATTTGAACATTGGTACATTTGAACGTTGGTACATTTAAACATTTGTACATTGGTACATTTATACATTTGAACATTTGAACCTTTGAACCTTTGAACCTTTGAACCTTTGAACCTTTGAACATTTGAACATCTGAACCTTTGAACCTTTGAACATTTGAACATTTGAACATTTGAACATTTGAACATTTGAACATTTGAACATTTGAACATTTGAACATTTGAACATTTGAGCATTTGAACATTTGTAAACTTGAAAGTAAATCAAGACTCATTTGAACATTTATATTTCACGTAGAGGTGTGCAATACCGTGGCTCTTGACAAACTCAACCCACGCTGTTGCAGTGATTTTTCAACCTCAGAGAACCCCGATTCTTTCGGTAATCTATACAGCTAACGTTACTCGATGTCCTAAATAACGGTACACCCGATCCTTCTACGTTTCTCGAACAATTCAGGTTCTCTACACTGCGATCGATTCGTGCCTAAGAATTGTACAAAGTTACTTTTACGTGATGACAGCTCGAATTAGCTCATAAATTTCATAGCGATATAAGCTCCACTGCTGTTAAATCAAAACCAGAGTCCTTTTACATGAAATAAAAAAAATTGTAAAATAAGAAAAAATTGTTGATTCAGAAAAATATATCACTATTGATTGATCCAATGAACACAATTTTACACAGAAATTAAAAATAATTTTGGAAAAAATTTTCTTACTGCCTACATTAGAACATTTATTTGCTCTCGAGTGTTTAACTATGAGTAATGTTTAATGTTGATAACATAGGTAGCGTTGATTAACCTTACTGATAATATTTTCCTGCAATCTTTTCTCAAAGACAGTTTTACCCAATAATCGATTAGTACGAAAAGCGCAAAGTAACCGAAGGGAAATTGAACGCGAAAGGTCGTCCGATGGCGGAAGTTCAACGCCTACCAAATCCGGTTCGAAAGGATTCCGAGAACAACGAAACGATTCTTATATTTCATTGTCGCGTGTATCGACAATCGTTCGTTCGTTCGGTTTTATCGAGTCTCGCGATCAAAGGCTACAGAGTGATTGTATTGGCGTTGCTAAGAGACTCGTATGTGAGATACCCATCGGTGTTCCGTACGAAAGATTGATCGCAGGACGATAGACAGGATGTGGAAGTAAAAGGTTGATCGGAAAAATTTCAGAAGAAAAAATAAATTGGGTCAAGTGTTCACTTCGATTGCAAGGACCACCTAGTGACTACGTTGTCCTTTTTAGATGAAATTAGCCGGGAAAAGGATAATAAATCGATGGCCAGGAACTTCGAGTCGATGTCATTGAATGCCATCTAAGGCATGCCTACGGTTCTCTGTGCTGACCTTCGTCGGTGTAGAACGACGGTTCCGTAACCGGTCTGTAATATGTTTTGTATTTAGAACAATTCGATGTTGCATAATTTCTGTCGCTTTCTTTTTGGTTGCAATTCTTTAGAGAGACTTGATCGTCTTCTTATGAAACCGAGTTATCATGAAATGTCTCTTTCCATGATACAAAATTTCAACTCGAATTTAGGGGTCGAGGTCAATTTTGTTTACCAAACCTAAAGTGTATAAATCATGCAAGCTTATGAAAAATCCACTCCACGTATACATTGATAACAAAGATTTAAATTTACAAAGTAATGTTTGTAGCAGTAAATCGATCATGGAAGTAGAAGTAGAAGTTCTGTAGCTTTAAAGTAACTAGAGTTCTTCCATTAAAGTGTGCATTACAATCAATCTGTACAGAATGTTTCAAATAAACTGCAACATACTACAGAATAATATTTGCAACAATAAATCGATTACGGAATTGAAATAGAAGTTCTGTAGCTTTAAAGTAACTAGAGTATTTCTTCCATTAAAATGTGCATTACATTCAATCGGTACAGAATGTTTCAAATAAACTGCAACATACTACAGAATAATATTTGCAGCAATCAATCGATTATGGAAGTAGAAGTAGAAGTTCTGTAGCTTCAAAGTTACTAGAGTTCTTCCATTAAAGTGTGCATTACAATCAATCGGTACAGAATGTTTCAAGTAAACTGCAACATACTACAAAGTAATATTTGCAGCAGTAAATTGATTATGGAAGTAGAAGTAGAAGTTCTGTAGCTTTAAAGTAACTAGAGTTCTTCCATTAAAGTGTGCATTACAATCTGTACCGAATGTTTCAAGTAAACTGCAACATATTGACGATAATTGATTTCTGCACGATCTTCGCGCGTTTTTCTTGTACAACCTTGTAATATGCAGTAGAAAAAAAAATGAAATTGATTCGTCATAGGAAGATTGTACTTTTAGTACTGGTAAAAAGCGACGGTTTAATTCGTCACACGAGTTCGGCCCAAACGAACAGGATACGACTGCAAAAACAATTAGAACTATTTTTCAGACGAATTGACTCTCTGCGTCACTGTATTGACCGATGTTTCTTGTCGACATCGAAAAACGCTTAAGTTTCTGAATAGCTAAAACGTTTTAGATTAATCATCGGTGGAAACGTTCGATTTCTCATGTATCTTTCAGATATCTGATCGTAAATGCATTTCGAATGGAAGTTTTCCGATAATTAAATCTTGAACGATTTGCAGTCGTTTCGAGAAAATTCTCAAAAAAGAATCTCGTAGGATAAAATCTTTCTTTTCTGTTTGTGTGTCAGAGTAATCGCAATAATTTGCTCTTTTTTCAATTTAAACGATCGCGTGCCACACAGTTATACGTTCGTTTCATTTACATGAAAGCGATACTAAACGATAAAGCGCATACACATGTTAGCTATTAGAAATTCATGGGTAGAAATTCCCTCGGTGTCAGCCGATGATTTACTTGCGAAGAAAAGCTCTCGAACGATTAACCATTTGAAGAATCAACGGAAAAAGAGTCACGCATGGGACGTGTTGTGTCTATTTAATAAACGTGTTACATAAAGTAACGCTGGAAAACAAACAAGTGATCGCGAAAGAATTAAATAAAAGATACAGCGAAGCTGCGTTAAAACACTCTTGCAAGAGTGTTAAAAGACTCCTCAATATTTTTATCGTTTACTCTTCAACTTGCAAATAACTGAATAATTCAAAAATTTGTTAATTATCAATATTTAATCAGTAACCTCAGTAACAGATAGCTTCTTTTAACAAAAGATCGATGACTTAGTATTAAACACGTCTCAACAGCAAAGTGATTGTACAATGAAATCAGGAATAATAAATCCCATAAAACATGTAGCAATCTATAGGTAGACCGATGGTAAAAAATTAATTGTATTGATCGAAGTCTCATGACGTTCCCGATTAGTAAGCACCCCAAAGTGTACTCGTATGTCCATGAACCTGCAGAAACGGCTTTTGCCCGGTACTGTGAGCGTATATAAGACTGACGACGAGCTATTACAAAGCGCAGTGTTAGATTACCACCTCGACGTCAACAACGAGCATCGTGTTATTGGCAAACCGGTGTTCCCACATTCAGTGACCCGTTAAATGGTTCATCGTGATCGCAGCTGAAATTTTAAAGAATCGATCGTTAACACACCGAGCTTCGACATGGAGACTGTGCTATCCACGAACTTAGACAACTCTGGCCGAATAGATGCCAACAAGACCAACTTCGCGAAAGATGTGCCCAAAATTGCGAGATACACGGTAAGATTGTTGCGAGCTTCGGAATTTTCGTTGTTAGAGTTTCGGGACTTTGGAATTTTGAGGGTGGATATATTTAACAGCGATATTGATGAAATTGTTGAAATTGAATTTGGAGTTTGAAAGTTACGGATACAATCTTGAGTGTGAAATTTTTATACTGCTAATGTTGGAGCAAATGTAACGAAGTGTAACAAAAATGTAACAAAATGTGACTATTGCAATCTAGAATTTTGGTGCTACATCTGCTGCAAACTGTGGAATTTAAACATTACAAAAATTAGAATATTAGAGAGTAAAATTGCGTAAGTAACAATCGTAGTTTGCATTTTGATCAACTCGGGTTAACAAGCGCGTTCCGCTTCTCCAAAATGGCGTATAAAAGAAACAGGAAATGGACTGTTCGTATGTTTATATGTTGTCCCCAATCCGTCATTATATCTATCTTGTAACATAAAACAATACCGTTATTATAATTACGATTGACATGTCTATTAATAGAATTGAAATGATGTAACGCTAACATTAGAAAAGACGAGTTATTACGGAGCATCGATGATTACTAAAACCGAAGCCATAAATGCCATACTTCCAATAATAACCCATCATTCGAGTAGCGAATTAACTGAATATTCGCTAATAATATAATTGCATAACTATAATAATATAATTGGCAGACGGTGAACAATGGTCTGATATTTTCACAGCGGATCGTAGTCTGAAAAAACCAAAGTATTCACAATTTTGGAATTGTGAATACAGTAATTCGCTAATAATATAATTGTTTAATTATAATAATATAATTGGCAGATGGTGAACAATGGTCTCATATTTTCAGAGAGGATTGTAGTCTGAAAAAAACCAAAGTATCCGCCATAATGTTAGAGTTGTGAATACAGTAATTCGCTAATAATATAATTGTATAATTATAATAATATAATTAGCAGACAGTGAACAATGGTCTCATATTTTTACAGCGGATCGTAGTCTGAAAAAACCAAAGTATTCACAATTTTGGAACTGTGAATACAGTAATTCGCTAATAATATAATTATTTAATTATAATAATATAATTGGCAGACAGTGAACAATGGTCTAATATTTTCACAGCGGATCGTAGTCTGAAAAAACCAAAGTATTCTCCACAATTTTGGAATCGCGAATACGGAAATACTAAAAATGAAATACTGACGCGTTCCCTTGTAGGCGTAATCGTGGTCCTAGAAATCAAAATATAAACGTTACATTCTGTTGTCAGCTATTGTGAATCATTGCGTGGAAGTGGATCAACTATATAATTCAGTCCTCGACTATGTTGTCCATTAATGACCGAGATAAAGCGACCACAAATGAGAGCGCGTCGCGAATTGCTGCATACGCTCGATGCAACGGGCCAACACGTTAATTGTCCCGCGTGAAAGCGCTAATTCAATTTCCGATGCCGGGAAAACAACAAATTGTTATTATTCTGCATTGGGTTACACTGATATGTATTCACGGTGTTGCAACATGTGTTGCATTCAAACGACATAATCTGATCAATCCAATGTTATAAACATGTCCTACAAAACGATAGCTTTAACTTCCTGTCATGAACTCGCTTCTTTAATGAACCGTGTTTTCGAAAATTATCTAGGGATTTAGCTGTGGAGATCTGCATTGATGGATGGATTTAACAAAGAAACGTTTGTTATAATTATTCGATGAAGGAACATCGATGCAAGTGTTGGGTACAAGGTTTATTGTTTGATGTTTCAGCTGGCGGATTCAGCGGACAACAACATTGGAATGGATTATCATGTACAAATAGTTACGAAGGACGATAAGCTTAGGATATTGAAATTCCTCAGAAGGTTTTTCTTCAGAGACGAGCCGCTTAATCACTGTATCCAGCTAATACCTGAAAGCGAGGACAGCACTTGTCTCGAATTAGAGGAATACTGTAGTATGTCCACGCTCGAGAACAACCTTAGCCTTATGGCGGTTTCAACCAGTGGTGCTATTGTAGGTGTTCTCTTAAATGGTAAGAATCACAGATAATTGTACTCTAATGCGTTTCATTTCTTGAATCACTGCTGTGAGGTACCAATACACAGTAGCTACTCAATATTTAATTTTGAATCTCCAATATCTAATACTCGACTATATACTTCGTACTACTTAAATTACTTGCTACTATTTAAATTACTTGGTACTTAATATTTAAGTTAAGAAATGAAACATCTTGTGATTCATTCTGATGCACACTGCATCTCACAATTATACCAACGAATTAAATGGACTGAAACTTTGCACCTTATACGTAAATTAAGAATACGAGTTACCAAGAATGATCTATTCTTGCTAAGAAAGAACAATGCAGACGAAACTGGTACATTCTACGAATACGAAACGATGAATAATTTCATTGGAATATCAAATCTAGGCTAACAAGGATAAGTTAAAAACACGTCTGCTTACCATAAAAGGTCACTAATATTTGCGAAACGTATCTTGTTTGAGCAAAAATAGTTTTACTTTGAATAGACTAATAATAAAGATAACAAAAATCCCGTCGTACCTTGAGGATAAATCCCGAGGATAAAAGTGAAAAATTATATAAAAAAATTGTGCAAAAATTTTCCTACTTCTACATTTATCATTAATTATATGAACCTGCAAATAAAGTAAAATTTCTAGTCATAAGGTGAATTAAATGTGTATACTGAAGCATCAAAATCTTCCAAGCCTTCAGGGTCTTAACGTTGATTCAATCTCGAGTGTATTAAACAATAATCTGATAAAAAAATAATAGTAGAAGGAAGGAAGACACGCCTTCGAGAAAACGGTACTGTTCAACGTTACATAAATTGTTATGCGAGTACTAGGCAAATGTGAGGCTTATTAATCGCTACCGGTTGTCACAACAGCGATAATTATGTTACTTTATCGGTAGATCCAGTTAGTCACGTGTTATGCCGAAGTCAAGGGAAAAACGTATGAAAAAAATATATAAAAATTCTCTTTCAATATTTCAACTCGGTGGTAATTGGACAACTGTTCCTATCTCAAAGAGCAGTACAGTATTATTTATTGGAGAATATTCCGAGTGCTCGTCATGCTATGAACAATGAGCGAATAAACTCTTAGCAGTAGAAATTGTTTCCAATGCAAAGTAGATGTTAAGCGGTTACCTTCGATATAAGATATCGAGGTTGAGTTCTTAACAGAAAGGCGATCCGTCAATCTAAAATTAACGTCCGACTGATTGCCATTAACAGTACGTGCAATTTGTCGAATTTAATTATTGTAAAAGTTAGATGTGAACTTGTACTTTTGCTAATGGTGTTAGCGTCATATATGGGGCATGATCGAGTGACTTTCGGTAATTTGAAATCCTTGATTTACAAATCTAAAAACATACCAATTCAGGAGTTTAAAAATTTGTAAATTTTAAAAGTTCAAAAATCAAGTTTCCACATAAAGAGTCAATCCGTACTTCGAGAATATCATACTTCTTCATATACTTATCCCATTACGTGTTATCACATTTTCAATTCTACGTTATATGCTAATAAGAGACCTTTAGAATGAATGTAGATTGCCGTTCACCACTAAATGCATTTACATAAGTATTGTCTGTTAAATTTATGACTTCATATAACAAATCTTATCAATGATTTGCAACGTCTATTCTTACAAGTATACAACTATTTATTCGTTAACAGTTTTTCAAGAAGATATACTCATGTGTATGTAAGCATGTAAATTGTTATGCGCGGTTTTGCTTTGCAAATCAGATGCGAACCATTCAAGTAATTATACATTCAGGCCGCATTAACTGTAATTAATCAACAAATTACGCACGTAGGAAAAATGGATCCCCCCTGCGAGGGAGACCCGGAATACATCACCTCGTGTGAAAATCCAAAATTCAAGAAAATTCTGAGGTTACTGCGGTACGTGGACCAAAATGTGAATCGCAGTGGACAGTATGAAGGTCTGAATATCCTGGAGATCAGAATACTCTCTGTGGACAGTAGCTGGAGGGGCAAAGGGATTGCCAAGACTCTTGTGGAAAAAACTATGTAAGTTTAGTTTACATTTTTACACTTCCAAATCCTATAAATTTTTAAATTCAAATTATCCATCGCTATCTGATGTGCAATTGATAAATGAAAATAATCGATTTACAGTGAAATAGGAAAGGAAAAGGGCTTTCACATGGTACGCGCTGACTGTTCGTCCTTTTTCTCCGGCAAACTTTGCGCACGACTAGGCTTCGAACGGATATACGAATTGAAATATGCGGATTACGTGGACGAGGATGGTAATCCTGTGTTTAATCCAGCGTTCCCACACACGTCGATTATTTCGTACATCAAGAAACTGTAACAGACACAGCAGCACGATATGTTATCAACATCGAGTACCTGTTTAGAACGAAGAATAATTTTTATAAACGCACTCCAAACTTTGTATTGTATTCCACCTTGCGGCGATTATTCGGATCTATTGTACATTTTCGTTTCTTAAATAAACCATTAATTTATTTATTACTTTTATACCAAGTGATGTCGCACTGGGATAATTTATCGTCTTCGTGTAAAAATTATATGATGTTAATATGATACTAATGATATTGTGCACTTAATGAGTGGAACTCGGAAACGAGTATTAATCACATTGTCAATGATGCAAACAAATTTACTTTGTTAAATATTCTGAAAAAATACATATAAATTTGTTGCTTTGGTGTGATCAATTTGCACGGAAATATAAGAATAAGATGATTTGTATTTAAATGGATTCCTAATGCTATTAAACTTTTTTTATAAATAAATTGAGAAACAAGTATTGATGCTTCTATTTTAAAAATAAATAAATCCTTTTTATCAATTTTGTACATATTGGTTAAATTATATAACAAATTTACATTAAATACATGTGTAAATATAAACACCATAGGCTTCCTTAGAAAAAAATACTGATGCAGATTTCTTTCATTAGTTATTAGTCAAATGAAGCCTATAGTGTATTACATTCTACAATAAATATTGTGACTATTCTTTAAAATATTCTTCTAAAACAATTTCTGCTATAGAAGATAAATTTAACAATTTTATTTATCAGGGAAGTTCAATTTGTACTGATCCATCAGAAACTGTTTTCTCTGCTCCATACCACTCTGATATTGCATTTCATACTCTGCAGTTTTTTTTGCTTGCACATGCCTCTTATAATTTGATGCTGCTGTAATACATGTTATTTGAATTATACCTCCAACAATCATAAGTAATATGCAAAATCCAATTGCTTTTATTAATTCCTTCGTACCAGGTCTTCTACTATCACATTTATTTACATTATAAAAGTTATTAGCTCTGAAAATAAATTTATTTAGAAACATATATAGGAAAACAACATGGATGAACAACTTCTTGAAACACATATAATCTCTATTGCAAACATACCCATTGTATTGGTAACCAGTGTTATATTGTGATGTAAAGTTATGTTTCAAATCCATATCATAATTACATCGAGAGTCTTTCTTACATAAAACAGAATAAGCTTCGTTAATCTTTACAAAGTCACTATGATTTCCTTTGCTTCCAGTGTCAGGATGCATCTAAGAAAACGCAACATATTTCTAAAAAATATAATATTTCCTTCAATATATATTGTTGTAATAATATGCAAACAATTAAAAGACTCACTTCTTTTGACAGCTTAATAAAAGCTTCTTTAATTTCTTTTTGCGTTGCATCCTGAGGAATGCGCAATATCTCATAATAGTTGCTTTGGCATCTTTAAAAAACACAATTCACTCTGTAGTTAGAAATATGTACAAAAAAGACTGTCATGCTTTTACACGAATTCTAACCTTTTGGAGCAGGGAAACATTCGATGAAGAACACGAATTAAAACAGGTACTTCAGATTTATTGACACGACAGATTTGCGCCATGCTATTCAAATTTCTTGAATGATTATAAATTTAGAATCAATTTAATATAATTATACATTACAACAGCATCATCATTTTGCGTAAATGTTAAACTGTAATTAAGAATGATATAATGGTATCGTACAAAATTCGTAGAAAAATGATCATATAAACTTTTTAAAAAATTCAATATAATATTGTCAACAACTGTCAAAAAGAAAAAAAAATATAATAATATAAAATCATTTAAAATTTGACTAACTTTATGACATGCCGTACGTCAAATATCGATATTGATGTATCGCACATGCTTAGTGTTTACTTTGCCGCGTTTTTTTTCAAATTATAAAATTGAGCTTCTAAATTAGAAAGTTTTACATTACAAAAATTTTCGGGGTAACGGTTAAATATGCGAAGCACACCTAGAATTGACATACTTTATTTTTCATTTTTGTTCTAATCTAACATCCTTGAGTTATTGAAGGAGCTCATGAATTCGTGAATTAAATATTTATTAAAAACCGAAATCAGATTCTATAATATAATATAATAACAATTCTCAATCGCGTCTGGTGTACAGTATAAAATATATTACAATATGTATACAGGAAACATTCTTATTTGTATAAGATAGGCCTCAAGCCCAGCTCGATGTCTATGCATTTTATGCTTATCATAGGTATGTTATGCAATATTTTTTATGCGTATTGTATAAGCTCTAATATTATTAAAAAACTGTTATATACTTAACATTTGTATTGCATATTTTATGTACAAATTGTACGTTATGACAAGAACTTATAATGCAAGCCTTTATCAGGAGATGTGAGAATGTCTGATATGATACAAAAAATTTTTATTCCAAAATGTGGTCAAATGTATTTAATCGTATATTTTCTGCGAACATTGGCTTGCCGTTATAAATAATACTTGTGAAAAATCAAATGCATTGGCACAAATCCCGTACTTCATCGATCCTGTTTCATACATTTTAAATGCATGTGATAGAGAAAAAAAATACGTATCTTAAAATTACTGAACAATTGCAGTGTAATGCAATGATACAGTCACGTTCTAATAAAATCTCTTATTAACATAACAGTACAAATTTTTAACGTCAATCAAAATATATAAAACCTTTACATTGTATTACTACGTGTTCTTTTAAAATTTATTTATATTTTTAGTTCAATTTGTAAGAGATCGTAAACTTATTAAAAATTTCCTACAATATTATTTCTCAAATATTTATAAACAATCTTCTTAAAATTTAACACATCATTCGTGTAGGCAATAGTGCAACTTCTTTGTCTCACAACTCGTGATAATTTCAATTTACGAAAGAATTAAATCCATTATTTGCTAGTAATAAAATATATAAGTGTACATGACCCTTTTTTCGTAACAATTTAAATATAAAGGCAAGTTACATTCTTTTTTTAAGCAATCTGAATGCATTCAAGATTACTACACGTTCAAAATGTGCCTACTCGTTCTTGTTTTCGTTTAAAGGAACGTTTGGATACTTCGGAAAGTCTACAGCATCCACTGGATTTTTCACTTTGAAACTTGGAAATAGACCTGTCATACTAGTTCGAGTGTTGTATCCCTTAGAATAACCATCCCAGTGATTACCAAACACTTCAACCAAGTCTCCTACTTTCAGTTCTATTTCGCCACTTCTTCTTGGTTGGTGATCCAAGATGACTTTATGAGGGTGTGGATTTTGTCCTCCATAATAATAAATATCATCGAGTGATGTAAATCGATTGTATGCATCGGGGTAGTATGTTTGCATCAATTCGTAAGCCACACGGCATACTTGAGAACTAAACGTGCACACTAAATAATCACATTCGGACAAAAGATGTATATCAATGATTATTCCTTGCAAAGAGGAATCTGAATATCGTTTTGCAACTGACGCCATTTCTGCTATTTCTGGATCCCCTATTATTTCATAATTTGAATAACGATTCTTGGCTGTCGTGATCACCTTTGGATCATCACTGGCTAAGAAAACCCTTCTCACATCTGGTTTTACTTCAAGTTCATCGAAATACTGCTCAACCTTAACCATGTATTCGTCTATATCGTGATAAGCAGCTTCGGTACCAACTTTATCCGTTCTTCGTACGTGAATTCCGACAATAGGTTTTTTGAAACCAAGTCTATCTTTTGCATAGTTCAATGTTTTCGTTACATGTTCTTGAGGTCGCATTAAGTACTTCAGAACTTGTCCTACCCACCATACCAATGGATGCCCATGAAGTTTCTCTAATCTCGGTGCTAAATCTTCTGGTACACTTGGTGGTTGATACCTTGGTTTTGGATAAACGTTATCCACAATGGGTAAGGATATTACTTGTTTAGAAGCATCACCAGGCCAATTAGCATGAGATGCTCCATTTGTAGATACACAGGTATCGCTTAATGGCTTGAAAACAGACTCCCAACCATCCTTATGGTATCTCCAACCTTTTGACTTGATTATCAATGTTCTCTCTGTGCCATAAGCAACCAAAAAGCAATATGTAATGTGATGAATCTGAAATACATAATAAATTTTATTTGTAACATTTTATTTTGTTATAAAGTAACAAGTTTGTTTACCTGACAACCAAATCCACAGCCTTTATTTAAACTACAAACTAATTTTCTAGCTTTGTTACAATCACTAGGGTTCTGTAAATACTTAAATCTTCTTTGTACGAGATCAGATAAATCTTTTGCTTCTTTTTTACGCCATTCATCATAGCCATCTGCTTTTTTCAATCTATCAATATCTATAATGAGAGATCTCTTATGATCCCAGACATTTCTCAATACATCCTGTATTCTCTTCTCCTTTTGATCATAACTGGGTTTATCTATAGTTTTCTTAAGTTTGCTAAGTTCTGCACTAATGTAATACCTATTTAGGAATTATGAAAATATTTTTATAAAAATACATTTTAAAATATATTAATATTTTCAACATTATACTTACCATAGTTCTTGTACATTGTTTCTCACCCTTCTCCGTAAATCTTCATATTCCAAAGAAGGGACACTGTGTTTAATGTTGTTTTTAGTATCCAACAATTCGTCATACAGTGATACCTTATCAAGCTTTTCATGTATCGAACCTAGATGGTCCCCTTGAATGGATTTTGATCTTTCTCTGGAAATTATGTTATCCTGTACAACGAAAAGATCAAAATGCTCTTTGTTTTAAACTATAAATAAACCTGTATAGTTTCATCATTTTTAGTACAGACTTACCCCAATATTATGTTCTTTAGCGCTTCATTTTGCCTTTTAAGAATTTCAAAATCATTAACCATCTGGGCCAGACGTTGAGCATTTTCTTTATTTGTAGGACTTTCATTGTTAGATGATAAACTATTAGCTTTAAAGATATGTGATACAGATACAATTAGTACCAAAAGCCACGTAGCTAATAATACTATGCCTACTTTTCCTAACCAACCAGGTCTTCCTGACCAAAATGTTGCCATTTTATATTATATTAGTAGATTACGTTGAATGAGTGGCATTACGTCATCTATAATTGAAAGATTATCATAGAAAAGCATAAAAATATTGCAGATTTTTTCTTAAATAATGATACGATTTGCGACGTTATAGATATAATTTAAAAGATAATCTTACGGATTATATTTTATAAAATTACGATATGCAACAATACATAATTAAAAAGTAAATAAAGATATTGCTATCGTAAATAGTCCATCATGAACATTAACATATTTCGATATTTGTTATAGATAACATCGTAGTGAATGAATTATGTAGATTATCTTACCGAGTAATTCATCATTTTTATAAAAATGTTTTAAACTTAGGATAAAACGCATTCGTTATCGTTAACGTGGTCATAGGAATAAGAACTTTATATTAAATTGTCAACTTGATCTGTTTCATGTGTGATTATAGTCATTAAACACTGGTTTTGTGTGGCGAGCGCTACCAGTACAAGTTACAATTCTTGACAATGAGTGAACTGAAATAAGCGCAAAAATTTGAACTATTAATTACGCTTATTCCATAATAATCTAATTTAAATCGTAGCAATAAAATTAACGTCAAAGTGGTTTAAACATTTTTAAAAGTAAAAACAAAGCATTTCTGTTATACGTTTCACGGAAAATCATACTCAGCTTGCGCAACCCGGCAAACTTCAGTACGTTCCCTACTACTTAGTATGACTTCACTACTATACGATTTTTATTCTGTTGGTTATAAACACGGTGGATAAGTATGTATATGTGGATAAGGAGAATGGGCGATAAAATAAGCATAATCAAGTGATAGCCAGCGAGGCACATTTGACTGTTATGAAATTGCCAAAATTTCAAATTCCAACGTGTATGTGCGAACGTAGTCATATTTGACGTAAATAGTAGAGAATGTATTTAAAATAAAAGATCACCAAGTATATACGTTTGGCGTCACGACAGTCATAAATGCACATGCACGTTGCTCTTGGTTACGAATCATATTCTCACAAATTAAAATGAACATGAGCAGGACGAACCAGAATCGTCGAATGATTAGTATGATCTGTTATTGAACGAATAATACATGAGAGTAGTAATGCATTGATTTAATTCTCGTAACTTTATAAATATTTCCAAATTATTTTGTGTAGAAGCAAAATTCATATCAATATTTCAAAAAACCGGTCATAAGAGGAACGGTTACGAACATGGCTAATTTTAGAACATGACTTTTATATTAGATGGCGGTAAAAATTGTACGTTTGATTTTTGCATGAAACATCACTATCTACTAATTTCATGTGCAATTTCCTCGCATAACCTAGAATCTTGACACTGCGAACACGGCGGTTGCGTGAACGTGAACTTTACAAATTAACGCCGGACAAAGTATAAAAACTAATACTCGAAACTTTTAATCAAGTGATATCAACGTGGCAAATAAGAGAATCAAAGCAAAACCGCATCGTGGTAGAAACATGAAATTGACATAAATAACGTATCAGTTTAATATCCTGTCGCGGTATTTCTAAACGCGGGTTGGTTCTTTGTCCCCCTCCCACCCTTTTGAGCCCGTCCGAAAATCGCGCAGCATCCTTGCGCGCGAAACACGCGTATGCCGGTGGACGCACATTGTGTGCCTGTACTGCGTTGTACATACCTGTGAATAGTGTATTTTAAGCTTTAGTTTTACGGGATGAGTGTGTGAAAAATCGGAGCGTTCATAGTAAAGAGAACGAACAGCGTGTGTCACAAAGCAAACGATATTCATCGATCGAGTAATCGCAATCGAAGTGAAGTCTACACGTAAATCGCAAAAGGGAGGACCTCCATTATCGTACCTACTCCCGTTTCATTACGAAAAATCCGTAACATCGTTGAAAATTAGAAATTCGGATTTTGCGGATCTTTCGATTCTCCTCCCCCTCTCTGCTTTCCTACCCCTAATTCCCTCCCGTCCGTCGACGAACAAGCAGTCATCGTTTTTTGCATGTTTCACTTTTTTTTCTTCCGACATCCCCCCAGTTTCGTTGGTTCATCGAAGCTGTTGTGCCGTTTGGTAAAACTCGATTGGGCCAAGTAGATTGAGCCGCGTTAAGTTCGACGATTCCTCTTTGTGTTCTCTCGTTGCTCGTTGTCCGGCAGTGTTGTCAAAATTCCGGCAGCACCGCTCGCCCAGCTGCCATTGCTGTGCTGTCTGGCGTTCAATCGCAGTTTCGTAAATACGATTCCTTTTCTGGTGATCGTTCTCCTCGTTATCCTCGTCCTCCTAGTCGTGGAAGCAGCGGAGATGCCACGCTGTTGAAAGTCACGCTTGGAACATGCTCGCTGAACAGACGTAGCGGTCGATTCTACGTTTGGCTCCAGACGCCGGTTCTGAGCGAGCTAACCTTCACAGTGAGAGTTACTCTTATCTGTTCGATCGTCGTTCATCGAGCTCGGAGCAGCGGTACGGATTGACAGAACGATGAAGTGGCTTGGTGCAAGTAGCGCTGGTGCTGCGGGAGAACCGGCACCCTCGATGCAATTGCACCATCCTTCTGCGAACGGACATATACCCACGGTATATCTTTATTTCAACATTCTTTTATTTTTTTCTTTTCATTAGCTGTATATGTTCTTCAGTGATTTATCTAGGTACTCGAAGTATCACTGCTGATTGAAATGTCATAACCTATCTTGTATTAAAAGGTGGGATGTAAGGGGCATTTTTATTTGGGATAGTAAAAGAATTAAATAACAATTCTAGTACTGGTTGGTAACATTAGAAAGGTCAGTTATCTGACTATAACAACTTATTTCTGTATTTATTTATGTTACTTTTTTTATATGAAAAAATGTATAGGTTCATTCGATTTGAGTCTCACGTGTACATACTTGCGTTAATATTAGTTGGCTTCTTCTCTACATCCATTTATTTATTTGAAATTTTCTAGTATTAATGAAACAAGTTAAAAAGGATATCAACCAGACTGGAAACATTGGCTATATAATATGGTTGACTTAATATATGAATGTTATATGTTTATTTTTAATGTGTTCGAAAAGAATAGGTTTAAAGATTCAATGATACTTTATTTGTTATTTTGGAGCAAATATCTCCTTTTCAGCTATTTATAGCACTTTAAAATGTTTAAATTTGTTCTTTCTAAAGTCATGATTTTTGAGTCGTGCAATTATTGGAGTAAATGTAAAAATCTTGTGCTTTCTATATAAAACAAGAACCATTGCAGCTTGGACTTATGTTTTGTTGGATATACATTAGTGTTGTAATGAAACAAATAGTCTTTTGTCATGGAGGAGTCAAATTTATTGCATATAATTGTAATGTCTTGTTGAATATAATGTGATGTCCTCTTCCTTTATGTTAAGCAGTTGATTCATAATGCTAGGTAAAAACTTTATCATTCGCATTGAAGAAATGCTTCCACATTTCATTTCAGCAGTTTGATAATTATGTATTCTATCAAATTCTCTAACATTTGTCAAAACTAATTATATCTTGTATAATTAATTACTAAATTTGTAAAGAATTATGTAAAAGATTTTTGTTTCTTAATGCTACTGCTACACTTCATTGTTTTATTGTTCTTTATTTGTGATGAAGTATTACCTCCTCTTTATATCTTTTAATATCAATACGATTACCATTTCAAAGAGTTAATATAGTTGTATTGAAATCACAATTTATTATAATTTTATTGTGCTTCTGTATCAAGTACTTTATCAAAATGCAAACAGTCACTTTTCTTAGACTGTAAACTGAATGTTTAAAGATAATAGAATTTTATATATCCATTGTTTGTATAACTTATTGTTACAAAGCAACAGATGAATTCAATATTTTTATGTTGTTAATAGGATGCAGAGCAATGTGGACAAGTAATGGCTGGTGGAGATAGTATGCGTATTCAACCTGGTCAAACCCATCAAATAGGTGTAAACAGAACTCAAGATGATGCTATGGTTGGTTATGTATTTCAACGACCTACAGAAGCAGAATTTAATGCCCAGTCTTCAGCTTTTCAAACAAAACAAGCTCCTCGTGCCTGGGCTCTGGCAGATGATGCAATTATTGATAATGTAAGTGTACCAAATATGGAATGTTCAAATTTATTAATTTAACATATTAAATGGATATATGCTTCTGTTATATGACCACAACTTTTAATTGTTTATAGAATCCAGAGAAATGGAAGTATCCTATTACTAAACTGAGTATGCCACAACAGAATCAACCACAACAATTGGGACTTCAAACAATGAACAATGTGCATGTACCATATGAAATTCATCCAATGCAATTAAAAGTGAGTATTATTTTACCTGGTATCATTATTAGTACAAAATTTCATTTCAAACTGATATTTAATTGCAATTAATAGATGTATGTTATCTGTATACTAACAATTTCTTTCTTCCTTTCTTTTGCCAATATAGAGTGGAGCACCAGGAGCAGAGCACTTAATTTATCTCAATAATCAAATGACAGCTCAGCAACAGGTAGCTCTATTTCATCATCAGCAACAGCAACAACAGCAACAGTTCAGGAATGGACAGGTAAGTGTAATTGTAGTGCCTTCCCTTAGATGTATTAAAATCTATAACAATTCTTTTATACTGAGTAGAAAATTATTTCTTACTCTTTACACAAGAAACAAACTATGAACTTTTCTTGTCTTGCAAGAAAATTGATTAAGTCTCTTAATCTATTTTTGTGGGAATGAATTTTTTGAACATATTCGAAAGTATATGTTTATATAACTGGAGATGGTTCCGAAAAAATTTGGACATAATTTCGAAACTCTCGAATTTAATTTCAAGCACTCGAAAGTTTCGGAGTACTTTGATATTCATGTATAGAATACCTTCGGTATTCTGCTCGAATTTTGTTGAACTTGACTCGTAGCTCGAAAGCATGACATATCTTGCTACTAAGTATATTTACATTATTACAAAATACTGTTTCTGTTAGTATTTTAAAGCTAACAATACCGTTATCTTAACGGGTTTTATACTTGAAATGTGTATGAACGATTTTCGATTCGCTGATAAGTTACAAATCATCTTATCAAAACGTTAATGTGCTTCAAACGTGTTCAGCTCCTGAAACGGACGCATTGGCCAATAAAAATATATGAAAATGTATGTGTCAGTAACAGTTGTATTGGATTATTGTTAATAAGGAATTGTTAGAACTTGCAGTACCAATATCTAATATAAGGTTAATAGAACTGATAGAAAATGGTCCTTACAGAAGAGTAAAGCCCATTTTTAATACACCTGTATCATTACATCATATCATACACGTGTACATATGCAGGTTTTTCAAATACCCTTACAATTTTAAAGTTTGCAGGATTTGTATGATTTTAGTATAAAATGAATCATTCATATATGAATCTGTGAGAAAGTTAATTCCTATTCTAGTATCTAATTACAGAGATGTCATTGACACTCATAGTATTAGTTAACAGTCGGTTAGATAGAAAGTTCAGTCGATCCGTGGACTATTCGTGCAAACTGTGTCAGGGCCGAAATTCGGTGGAATAGTAAATTACAAGCGATGAATTTATAGTTAGTAAGGCAATGGCCTTCGGCGAGTTCAAAAATCGATCGAAATAAAAATTATTATTTACAGAGGGTAGATTAATTTTATCGATTTATTGTCTGGTAGTTCTTTTTAATTTTTAATAAAGTTCTGATAGATTTTCATATATTATTAATTACACTAGTGAAGCATACATGAATTATGACATGTAGACTGATGGAAAGCACTGGAAAATATTTTCCATATTAAATTGTACAATGAGTGTTACATTTTTATTAAATATTAATTTTCCATCATTAAAATAATACGAAAATAAATATCAAATAATCCGTAGGTGCTAATATCGGGTATTTCATATTCGATTTTGCCTTAATATGTAAATACAAATATTCTGACTGATTTGTCAATGCCCCTATTTAAATCCCTCGACCTTAGTGGGTGGGATTATAATGTACTTTTTTCGTAGATTTATTCATATCTTTATCAAAATAAAACAATAAAGCTGAGAAAATAAAAATTAGAGGTATAAAAGCGACTTCGAGCAAAACAGGTGAGGATCAGAATGTATAAAAAAGTGGAATGGAATCTTTCCATAAATATATGAATATTAATTTTTTGAAGTGGGTGCCAAAATGCAAATGATCTCTATACAGAATATAGAGTACAATTCTGTTATAATATTCGTGACAAGGCTGTGACAGTTGTAATATAGAAAGAGAACTTTCTACACAGTGCTGAAAACTTTGCAAATTTAAAAATTTCTAAATTTGGGAATTTTTAATTTTGAAAATTTGAAAATTCAGTCGTTCGTGGACGCGGGCTTTTTACACTCCTAGCGAACGTTTAAAAATAAAAAATGTGATATGCCCAGAAGTGAGACAGTTCACTTATTTTTAAGAGATAAATATCAGTAAATCCGGAATTTCATATGCAGTCGAAGGCTGTCGTTAATATTTAGCCAAGTCCAGGTAAATTTACCGAAGCGCGATCAAATTTTCATCCGATCGCCGTGAGAGGTCGTTAAATCGAATGGATAGAAGGAAGAAGCACGGCGATTGGTCGGTGAGATTCGTAAAGTGAACGTTGATTGGCGAACTGGTCGTCAGAGGGCATCCCATTCGAGCGTCGTTCTTTGTTTCGGTTAGGAGGGCAGTCTCAATCGAAGAGAGAGGCCGGTTAACGAAAATTTGCCGAGAGATACTGGCAAAGAAGAGCATCGTGACGCCTGATCGTTATTCTATTACCGTTTTCGCGACGCGTCTCGCGATATGCCAATACGGACGTGAATTGAGTCGAAGAACGGAGTGATCGAGTTGCTCCCCCTGTAAATAAACGCGTATTCGCGGAGTGAGTGTGCAAAGTGCGCGAGAGGAGAAAGGAGGTGGCGGAGGTGG